AACACGGTAATTACTGAAAAGTTCGTTGGAAAAAAAGAACTGTATCAAAGAATTTTTTGTTTGCATTCTCACCAAGATGTATGAAAAGAAATGGAAAGACAGCGACGAATTTGTTACTTCTATTACCGAAGCCGTCCCTTCACCAAGACGATAAATAGCAGTTGGTGAGTTCTTTTCGAAGATTTCTAGCGCATTAGACATTGGTGTGAGAAGAGTATTGGTATATTGAGAAGAGTGATATTGATTTGCTGAATATTGGCTAACCAAGAAACGGCAAAGAATCAGGACATTTTTAGCGTCACCTCAAAAGAATTGAACAGATTAACAGTTTTGACAAAGAAAGAATGAATGCGAAACCTTGACACTGGCGGACACGTATAGAATAAGTAAAGGGTGAAAAGTAACCCCTATTTTATGTATAATGGACTCTCCCGTCTCTTGAGAGTTACAGTTAGACGAGAAAGTCTAATCATACATAAAATGGGAATGTGACGTTCCGACGTGGCGTCTTTGATTATCCGTGGCCGATTTGGCGTAGCCGATTCGACATAGGAAGTTTTTTATTCGGCAGAGAGACGATTAGGTGTCAGATTACTGCTTCGTCGTTATAGTCAAATTTGTTCTCTCTCTTGTTTAATAGTCAAATCAGTACTTCGTCGTTATATGCTCGAATAGTCCAGTATTTACATTAGTCGGACTATTGTCCTCATTTTTGTCGCCATATTTGTCACAACGTTTCGGCCGTTGTACGCTCCGGCCTTCTTCAGGTGGTTGGAATTTCGAACCGAACCCTTTATTTCGCTCGCTGGGGTAGACTGTTCTAGTTCCACGTTCCATGTTTGATGGATGTCAGTTATCAGTTATCTCCTGCTAATTTTCCCTCTGAAAGTTCTCCACTGCCTTAACCAGGAATTGAACTCACCTTCTTTGGGTCTGTCACTGGATCTAACCAACGCCTTTATCCACTGTGCCATGTGTCCATGATTCTGATAACTATTAACGCAGCGCTCTTCAATTAAAATTTCCCCATACATTAGGGCTAAGATCTCTGACTAATACTACGTCGGTCGCGTTTCAATGCCGGCTTGAAGCGATCGGACGTCTAATCGCATTGATGAGCTGTGATGCAGCGAAACAGGCTTATATATATATATATATATATATATATATATATATATATATATATATATATATATATGATAGTATGAAGAACAAGTAGGAAACAGATCTTAATCTAAAATGTTGCACTTTATTAAACTTTGTGATCAAGATAGAAATGATAAAATTGATAAAAAGCAAAGAGACGCAGATTAATGGTATTTTTGTGTTTGGCTAACTTTTATTGCTTAGATACGAATCACGTGTAATGAAGTAACAAATAATATTAAATATGTGTAGCAAACATTCTCGACGCTAAAATGTGTAAAAGTTAGTAAGATGCAGTAGGACCTTTTGATTGGATACGTATCACGTGTAATGAAGTAACAGATCAAATAAGTGTAAGAAAACATTCCGAATGATAAAGTGTGTAAAAGTTACTGAGACGCTGCAGGATGTTTTGAAAAATTTTCTTCGGTTAGCATTTTCTTTGAAGTATATCTCATGCGTATTTTGTATATATGTATTGATTTTTATGTATTCGGAAAAGATAAGTTAGATTCATGAATAATAGATCTTTACAAAAATGGGGATATAATGTATTTTTTTTGTTTTAAATGTGTTTTAATAGTTGGTAATATTGCTAAAAATATATCTACATAATATTTTCTCTTTAAAGGGTTATGTTTTTTTGTTTTATTTTTTGTTTTTTGATAATGCTAGCATTGGTGAAATTAACTTTTACACACTTTAGTGTCGAGTTGAATCACCCATATCTCCTCCGTATTCCAAGTGTAAGAAGGGAGTTCCAATCAGAGCGCCTATCCTCCTGTCAAGAACAAAGATTTTGAGGAACAGATTCCTACGTGGATGCTTTCCTGAACAATTTAATCCTATCCTTTTCAAGTTAAGGAACAATCGTTATCCATCCTCCTAATCTCCACTTTCTAAGACGTATTCTTCCATTCATATAACACACCACATTCATCGTTACTATTTCGATTGTGGTTCACTACCTTGGGTGGATCTCTTTGCCTGCTAATGAGCGTTTAGTAAAAATTAATACTAGAAAAAAAAGAACAATGATCACATTAGAAATACCCTAGTGATATTGCATAAACAAAAAAAAATAAGGCATTATGCGATAATCTTATTAATCCCAAGCAGACATTTAAGCTCCTTCCACATAAATTCGTACCACGGTGTAGTCGTTTAAATATCCGTTCCTATTATCTCAAGCAGCCAGACTTCTATTTTCAAACGGTAGGAGTTTGTTTACAATCATATTTTTTTTTTCCAAAAACGAAATAATATCGAACGGTGTCTTTTTTCTAGACGAATAGATATCATGGCTACAGTTAAACCAAGTCTAAAGTATTTATTTCTATCGCACAAAACGTAACTGAAAACCAAACCAGAAACCGTAAAAAAATACAAATCCAAGCGATATGTTGTGTAGTGTCTCATGAATTAAATTACCAATATCCGTCGCAAATTTGTTTATGGTAAATGCGTATGTTTTTAGTAAAGAATCTATTACTGGTCTGCATTATCCGTATACAGATTCATGTCGACAATATGCGATAGGCTAAGATACATTCCCTGTCTCTAACACTGCGCTTCCTTATAGTTCGTTAGTCTGGCAGATTAAGACATGTTACGATTTAATATGCGGTAATATACTAGTTATTGTTTTTAGAGGAGAGATCTGTAAAATAACATCGCTGCATTTAGTAATACTGTCTATGATATGTACGTCCAAAGTCATGTCATCAGTGCGCGATAGGCTAAGGTTATTTCTGTAAATACCTTCTGCTAAAAACAATTCACTTTTAGTTGTACGTCATTGTGCTATTTATCAATTTCGTCACAAATTTATATGTTAAACGTACCAAAAAATGTCGTTAGAGAGAAGATACCGAAAAAATTATTTATTGTTCTTTCCGCGTATTATATAAAAAAGAGCAAGGTGGTATTTTCTATATTTCCCCTTGTTTTTCTGTCCATAAAATTATGCTGGAGGTCTTAGTAAAAATGCACACTGAAGTTTGCTTGGACCAGGAAGAAAATATTTTGAAGGAGATTCGGTTTTCATGATGTTAACACTAATAAGCTATTAAAAAGATAATTACGCGCTTTTTTTAGGGGTTCCCCTCCTATAACCCATATCATTTACCCCCCTGTATTCTTATTATGAGTGTTAATAAGGGACTCTTTCGATAAAATTAAGTAAATGTACTTAATAAGAAAATGTACCTTCCAACAGGAATCGAAACTGGTTTAGGCGAGTAGTGTAACAGTTAGCTACTGAGAAAGTGTTATGGTCCGGTTCCTTGTACCACGGTGATAGTCCAAGGTAGAACCAATAAAGAAGAACTCGAACACAGGTATGGAATATCACAGATATATTACAAACAGGAATATATATAGAGAAGTAGAAGTGTTAGTATGAACAATCACGTTTAGTAGTAATTGTCTGAACGCGACTCTGTTTCGGACTGCCTCTGACTCGACTGACTGACTCGCTCGGTCTGACTGACTGACTCCTGACGGACCTCACTCCAGACTTCAGACTGAACTCTGACGGAACGGTATTTAGTCACCCCCCTATGAGGTAACCATGTGGCACAAGGCCGGTTTAACGTGGGATCTCCGAGCATGTGGGCTCGGCCAAAAATATGCCCTTTGAACCCGTATAAACGGGTTCAGGGTTGGTTTACCTCCCCGAAAGAGACTCCGCCCTTCGGCGTAGCCTCGTTTGGGTTCCTCCCCGCCCGAAGGCAGAGAGTTCACCCGATCAGCCGATCAGCTGGTCGCCCGACTTCGGACTGAACTCCCTGCTTCCTCTTGAGGCGCAGTATTTATCACGTATGGAATAGGCCATTATGTTATTATGGGTAAGGTCCCATAACAGAAAGAGAGCCCAACAAGCGGAGGTCAAGTTTCGGTTGAGTTCATTACGTTCGCTTTCACAGAAATACCCTTAGGAAAGGTACAGCTTCAATATAGCAGGCTGATTGGACTCTCTTGCTTTAAAGTAGCGACCAGACCACGAGAAGGATAATTGAAATCCAGTGTCTATGTGTGTGAACTTCCTCAGACAGACTTGCTTTTCTCTTTTATGGCAGCAATATATGTGATGGCTCCAGCATTACGGGACTACTGCATTCACGACGATATTTACTAAGCTAAATTTAGTTTATCGGATAATGTGCCGAGTGAAATTCGAACTCATACTCAATCTCCTGTAAGACGAGCTCGCGAGCAACTGCACATTGGGGTGACTGAAGTATAAGAAGTATATATAGCTGATAGTAATTTTTCTATTATACAAATTAGGGAACAAAATTTTCGAGTAAAAAATATGACTCATTCAATAACGCAAATATATTTTGGTGGTCCCCGTGGTCAATAGGCCTATTTAATTGGAAAGTCACAATGCTTTTAGACTTCTGTTATATTTGAAACATCCGTTGTCACTCTAGTAATCCGTAATTTTCAGTATATGGCAGCTCCAAAGATCATCACCAGAAATAATACGACATATTACGTTTTAAAAGCGGTTCTCGTTCGATCAGTAAGTCAACGCTGGTGAATACCAGGTGCTGTAAGCTTGGGTGTGCGAGTGGTGTAATAGATAACGGCTTGGGATGAGAAAACGGAGAGCCGAGTTCTAATCGGGTGATGAATAATCGAAAAGAGATATGATCTCCCCAAGTATATCACACTCGACACTACCAACGCACAGCGCGGTAGAGTAATGGCCAATTCCTACCCATAAGTCTGGGGAAGGCTTACGCTCCCAAAAAGAAATTAATAGGTTGAGGAAACCATTAGAGGTGGTTGTCAGCATACCATATATTTGTCTAGAGTGGCTGGATCCGGTTGTTGTTTTGATAACAATGAAATTTGCATTCTCATGTCTTTCCTGTCTATTTATTTTCCGCCGGTGTATATTATCTATCTATCTATCTATCTATCTATCTATCTATCTATCTGAGTCTGTTCCTATCTATCTATCTATCTATCTATATATATATATATATATATATATATATATATATATATATATATATCCCTGTCTGTTAATATCTATCTATCTATCTATCTATCTATCTATCTATCTGTCTGTCTGTCTGTCTCAGTCTGTTCATATCTATCTATCTATCTATCTATCTATCTGTCTGTCTCAGTCTGTTCATATCTATCTATCTATCTATCTATCTATCTCTGTTCATATCTATCTATCTATCTATCTATCTATCTATCTATCTATCTATCTATCTCAGTCTGTTCATATCTATCTATCCTTCTCAGTCTGTTCATATCTATCTATCTATCTATCTATCTATCTATCTATCTATCTATCTATCTATCTCAGTCTGTTCATATCTATCTATCCTTCTCAGTCTGTTCATATCTATCTATCTATCTATCTATCTATCTCAGTCTGTTCATATCTATCTATCCTTCTCAGTCTGTTCATATCTATCTATCTATCTATCTATCTATCTATCTATCTATCTCAGTCTGTTCATATCTATCTATCCTTCTCAGTCTGTTCATATCTATCTATCTATCTATCTATCTATCTATCTAGTTCTCAGAGAAATCATTATTTACTGATTTTAAATGAATACTTTCAAATAACCGGTAGCACGACCCAGAGTTTCAGGCATAAAGCAAAATTCATATTAATTTTCTTTAAAAATAGACATGCATGAAAAATAACTGTCCTAAAACTGTAAAAAGAAATTATTAAAAAAGAAATTAAAATATTATTTAAAATGGAATTTATATTTTATATTAAACATAAACGGGCATTACGGATTTTTTCCTCTTTTGCATAAAATTACACAGACCTAAGACTATAAAATATATGTTGTATTTAAGAGAGTCGGGATTTATATTTCATGTTTATAGTAAATGGGAATTAAAGGTTTTATTTTATGTTTAAAATAAACGGGGATTAATTGTAATTATCTATGCTCGACATAAGAGAAGCAAACAGAAGAAAATAAAAAAGGCAGGTTATAATCTAAAATAGAAATCAACCTAGATCAAAATAATTGAACAGGTATTCATTTTTATGTCGACATGTGACCATCACTTCATTTTTTTGTTCAGTAATTTAATGCTATTTACGTGGCTAATTTTTCTACAAGCTATAAATTAAGTCTATCGCCTTTCTCATTGTAAGATTTGGTTTTACCTCCAATACCCCACGTGATAATGAGTGTATTACTTACTGTTCTTTTGTTAATGTGTTTTTAAACCCCTTTTTATTCCTGTCTTAGTTTGAAATTGATATTTCATTCTCCATATAACCCAAATTTAATATCATAAGTTTCATATGCAAGTTTAATTTCTTTCCCTTTAAGACTACTATCTTCTCCCCCCACTATCTACTTCCTGTCTACAGTCGCCCCGCAGTCTCTGACTCTGTGTACGTCTTCTGTGTACGACTTCTGTCGAACTCTCTGCTTTGGCAGAGAGGAACCCGGACGAAGCTTTGCCGAAGGACAAAGTTTCGTCCGGGGAGGTAGACAGGCCCTGAACCCGTCTAGGCGGGTACAAAGGGTATATTTTTGGCCGAGCCTACGGCTCGGAGAAACCCACGTTAAACTCGGCCTTGTGACACATACATTCCTTGTTGGGGGACTGTTAAATATCACTATCTACTTCCTTGTACTTTTCATCTGAATGAAACATTGAAATCGATAAATTCTGTATTAGTTTATCGACGTTTTTTTGTAGCGTTCAAGAGTTACTTTTCTTTTTCCGAAACGATCTTAGTCTATACTGAGGTTGATAAGACTAAGGAATTCTATTTTCGTCAGTTAAAATAAGTTTATTCCCCATATGAGGTGATTTGGGATTTTATTGTGTATTAATATTTGCTCTGTAATAATAAATACATTTAGCTCTTTTTGGAGATAAGTCTTAATATTTCATATTAGTAGGATCCACTTGTATCATATAACAACGAATTTATTACCTATTAGATGATGAAAATATGAACCCGAAATCTGAAAATGCATTAAAATAAGAATTATGTTTTCCGGAAGCCAGGAAAATTATTAATAGGAAATATATATATATATATATATAGTTAAAAAAAAACACTAATCCCAGTTACATAGACTGTAACAGAATTGTGTTAACCAGACATTTTCTTAACATTTACATAATGTTACGGTCAGTCTATACTCACCACCTGAAGATTGCGTTGTGCATGGAATCCCGTGTCGTGCTACCGATGAGCATTATATATATATATATATATATATATATATATATATATATATATACCGATATTATATATATATATATATATATATATATATATATATTATATATATCATCAGTAGCACATTATTTATATATATATATATATATATATATATATATATATATATCAGCATATATATATATATATATATATATATATATATATATATATGAGTTATACAGATTATACAGGTTTATATATATATATATATATATATATATATATATATATATATATATATATATATATATATAGATAATATTATGGAAAATATACATACATATGAAAAATATATCTAAAAAATTCCCATACATGTATATTTTCAGAAAAAAATTTTCAAGAGGAAGGATCCAGGTAGAACTCAATGTCTAGGACAGAAAGGATATAATAAAAAAGGCTTAAACACTAATATTCCATGGTCATAATTTATTCCATTGGAATCGTAAATACGATCCAAATCATCAGACCTACAAATTCAAAATGAAAACAGAAAAAAAATGTCCGGAAATCAAAACAGAATTTAGAGAAAGTGTAAGTATGAGGGATGAGTGACATGAAACCTTAACAGAGAGAATTTTTGGAGATGTGGGTGGGGTGGATTTAAAAAAGGAGAGAAAGAAAGTCGACGGATGTCTAATACATAAAGATACATTTCGTGGTGACATATACACACCACAGACAATTCGGATAGGAAGGAAAAAAAAAAAAGGAAAGGGTGGGGGGGAGGATGGGACGAAGGAAAATAAAATTGTTTTTTTAAAGGGCCATTTTGTAATTGGGAAAATTAAATCAAATATAAATATGAAGATGAATATAACGATTGTCTCATTTCGCAAGGACCAAATATTTCTATGTTCAAAACACATACTAATACACACAAAAAACCTATACAATTAGGTACATACACTTAGGCATGTACACACACAAGTACCAGACATACGTGTACATGCACATACACACACATACACACATATATATATATATATATATACACATACACATACATATATATATATATATATATATATATACAAAGACATATATACATATATATATATAAAAACCTAAAAATATATTCACATATCACACATACACATATTCATCTATATTCCTATACACACACTTTTCACATATATATACACGCATACATATACCCCCATGTATACATTCATACATACATACATACTTATATACATACACATACACATACATATATATACATACACACATACATATATATATACCTATACATACATATATACATATACATACATATATATATATACACATATACCCCATACATCACACACATACACATACACACATACATATACACACATACATACATATATACACACATACATACATATACACACACACATACACATATACACATACATATACACATGCAAATACATACACACCCTTACATATGTATATATATACACATGCAAATACATACACACCCTTCTGAAATTAATTGATAAACATTTCCACAGTAAGCATCCACTACGTAAAATTTTCAATAGGAAAACTCTAAAATTAGTTACTCATGCGTTAGAAATATAGAGAAAATCATATCTTCCCATAATTGCAGAATACTTAGAAAACTACCACGGTAATGGAACTCAATCTAGTAACCCTACCTGCAATTGTAGGAATAAAGACCATTGTCCAATCGGGGGGTAAATGCAAATCTGAAAATGTAGTATACGAGGCAACTATCTTTCCTGAGGGAAATATAAACGAGAAAAAAAAGATACATAGGTATATCCGACGGTGATTGGAAGCAGCGTCTATACAACCATAGACGCTCATTTAGATATAGATGCCTCAGTAGACAGACTTCCTTATCCAAATACTACTGGGAACTGGTGGATACGGGATTAAACCCAATTTTGAAATGGAGATTCCTATTCAGAGCCAGAACACGTAATAACTTCCGCGATCGGTGTGATCTATGCATGGCGGAAAAAAAATCTTCATTATCAAAGATAAAAATCGAGATGAGCTGCTGAATCTTCGGAATGAGGTATTCTCTAAATGTAGACATAAGAAAGGTTTCAAAACTTGAACACCGTTGTGTAACATGTTGTCACTTATGTCAGCTCCATCTCGGTCCTATAACATCGGGCATGACATTTTAATTGTATGACTATTATGTTTATCTCTAAATGTACCTTTTGTGCACGTTTATGTGATGCGCTATGTATTTTATATATATGTTTGTGTATGTGTGTGCATGTATGTATATGTATGTGTATGTATGTGCATGTATGTGTATAGATATATATATATATATATATATATATATATATTAATTTTTTTTTTTCATACACGCGCAAATATTTGAATCGTCACTTATTTAGATTTTAACTTTTTATATATATGTACATATGTGTATATCTCTGTGTGTATTTATATGTATGTATGTGTATGTTTGTGTATATGTGTGTATATTTGTATGTATATGTATGTATGTGTATATATGTGTGTATGTTTATGTTATGTATGTATATGTATATGTGTGTATGTGTACTTATGTGTATACATGTTTATGTGTGTGTGTATGTGTGTGTATGTGTATATATACATGTGTAAGGGTGTGTATGTATTTGCATGTGTATATATATACATGTATAAGGGTGTATGTATTTGCATGTGTATATATACATATGTAAGGGTGTGTATGTATTTGCATGTGTATATGTATGTGTATATGTGTGTATGTGTGTGTATATGTATGTATGTGTGTATATATGTATGTATGTGTGTATATGTATGTGTGTATGTGTATGTGCGTGGATGTATGGGTATATGTGTGTATATATATATGTATGTATATGTATATATGTATGTATAGGTATATATATATGTATGTGTGTATATATGTATATGTATATGTATGTGTATGTGTATGTGTATGTATAAGTATGTATGTATGTATGAATGTATACATGGGGCATATGTATGCGTATATATGTATGTGAAAAGTGTGTGTATAGGAATATAGATGAATATGTGTATGTGTGGATATGTGAATATATTTTTAGGTTTTTATATATATATATGTATATATGTATTTGTGTATATATATATATATATATATATATATATATATATATATGTGTATGTGTATATATATATATATATGTGTGTATGTGTATGTATGTGCATGTACACGTATGTCTGGTGTGTGTGTGTGTGTACATGAAAAAAGTGTATGTACCTACTTGTATAGGTTTTTGTGTGTATTAGTATGTGTTTTTTGAACATAGAAATATTTGGTCCTTGCGAAATGAGACAATCGTTATATTCATCTTCATATATTTATATTTGATTTAATTTTCCCAATTACAAAGCGGCCCTTTAAGTAATCACAATTTTATTTTCCTTCGTCCCATCCTCTCCCCCACCCCCTTTTTTTTTTTT